CTTGTGACGTCCCCGGTGTGGGTGGCTGTGTTGGTCAGGCCGTTGCCCTCCTGATCCGCAGCCTGGATGATCAGCGTGTAGTTGGGAGTGGTCTGTAAGCCAAAATCACCGCGGTTAGGGCAGGGATGGGGTCCGGTGTGTCCCCCTCCTCTGGGGACATCGCCTGCCTGCTCTTCCACCCTTCTCCAGCCACGGTGTTCACCACCAGCACAGACGCTCGCCGATGTCCCTGCTGCCCACCCGAAGGGCTGGCAGTCCACCCACTCCCGGGGCTCGGCAGGGCTGGGTGCCCCTGCAACGTCCCCAGTACAGATCCCCGATGGGCTGGGGGCTGCAGACACCCCCAGAGCAGGGGACAGTGGCCCAGGGATGGCAAGTCCCCGAACCGGCCAGACCCCGGGGCTCTGGCATCCCCGGCTCCCCACAGCAAGTCCCACCACGGAGCTGCCACACGGTCCCCCAGGACGCGGCGAGGGTGCCCACCTCCCGGTCCAGCCCTGTGCCGATGACGCTGATGATGCCCTTCTCCCGGTTGATGGTGAACATCTGATGCACGCTCTTGGGCTCCTCGCTGAGGATGGAGTAGCCAATGATGCCGTTGTTGACGTTGATCCCATCGTCTGCATCCGTGGCGTTCACGGTCATCACGGACGTGCCTGGTCACGGGGACAAGCAGGGGAGATTTTACCGGTGGGACAAAACCCACTGGATAGCCCAGCACAGCTCTGGCTCAGGGCTCTGCATGGTCCCAGCCATGGGGCCCCCGGCTCGCCGGTCCCCACACACCTGGCTTCGCGTTTTCCTCGATGTAGCCGATGAAGACTTGCTTGGTGAAGACGGGCCGGTTGTCGTTCTGGTCCGTCACGGTGATGATGATCTCCATGGGGTCCTCCACGGGCTGCCCGTTGGCCGACACGGCGTGGGAGAAGAGCTGCGAGGGGCACCGTCAGCCCGCGCGCGGCCCCGGGGACCGTCCCCTCCCCATCCTGGCCCCCTACTCACCACGTATTTATCGATCTCCTCCCGGTCCAGCGGCTTCGTCACCTCCAGCCACCCCGTCTCCCGCTCGATGGTGAAGACGCCCACGGGGGGGGTGTCCGCCCCCTGCCCCGTGATGCTGTAGAAAACCTTGGTCTCCTTGTCCTTGTTGGATTTGATCTGGCAACGAGGCGGAGGGGGGGGTTAGAGGGGTCCCGGCGCCCCAGGGACCCCCCCCTTGCCCTGCGCCCCGTCCCCGCGGGGCCGCGTACCTGCACCAGCTTCTTGGGGAAGGGGCCCCGCTCATTCTCGGGGCAGTTGATGGGAGGGATGACCCAGTCCCTCTTCTGCCGCCGGAGGCCGTGGCCGGGCTCGGGGAAGGTCAGCACACCGGGTGCTGCGTCCTGCAGGGAAAGTGGCTCGGTTCGGTGCCAGCACCTTGCCAAGCCCTCCGCACGCTCTGTCCCGGGGAGAGGGGCTGCGGTGACCCCAGGGAGATGGCCTGCACTTTACCTGCTGGTGGTGGTGGTGGTGGTGGCGGCGGCG